AAATAAATTTACAATCATAGCACTACTCTTCTTGTGTTTCATGTTTATTGAATAAACATTTTAATAATATGAAGTGATAATTAACTGTTTTCACTGTTACATTAATGCAATATGCTGTTATTGAAAAGTACATTGGTGAATTCATTTTCTATCCGATTAGCTTAATTATCCTTGTTGCCAAAGAAACAGCATATTTATGCAGTATTCAAAGGTGTGTTTCAGTGAAGCGAAGTGTCATTAGAATTTTCTGGATGAGTTAGTGGTGAGCCACGTCGTAGCGCTGGTCTTCGGACTTTGGTGCTTGTTTCGCTGTACATGATGTAGTGTTGTTGGAAGATGTGTTCAGACTATTGATGAGTGCATGCATTCTGTATTGCTATACGTGCAAAACACTTCGTTATTTTTGTACGATAATAATGGCTACATCATTTCAATGCTATGCACTTTATTGCAGAAAATATCAATTCTGTTACTAAAAGCTTTTAAGGCTGATTGTCTTCATAGCTATAGAATTTCATCCCCTGTGTTTACAGCTGCATTATTTTTATTGAATTGTAGTATTCAGTTCAAACTACGCTACTACCTGTTGAAGAATCCTGAGTCAGTCACGTTCGATCAATGCCTTTTATGAAAAAAAAAAAAAGAATAGTTTTGCACGGTGAAACCAATCAATCAATATGAAAGTGTAACTAATAAAAAAGAATGTTGAATAGAGAAATGAAAAATAATTTCTGAAAATTTCATCAGCCTTTTCATTAGGTTCATTGCTTCGCAGAGTAATTTCAAAGTTCTAGTTTCTGTCTCTTACGGTTGTTCAATGTGATCACGCGCACACCATATCGTTTTCACAGCAGTAACGCACAAATGAGAGTAATTTGAAATCTCCAATTTATTTTGTTTTACATGATTCACTGTTTTCACAACAGTAACGCTCAAAGTGTTAATTCTCGGTTACTAGGAAGCCATAGCAACAGGGTAATAAATTGAAAAGCTGTCAAATTTAACAACTTGTTTGATGTGAAGTCTCACATTTTGGGCTTTGACAGGTGTTGTTAATATCCTTAGTTAATAAACCAACCAAGTACACTGTGCACTTTTGAAATTACACTGTCATATCCATGAAAGTTTAAATGTTTGAAATTACTACCTACTGAAGATGAATGACAGAATTGAGTCCGCATTCTGATGTTTAATATCCTGCAATTTAAAATTGTAATCACCAAGTTTTGATCTCACAGTTTTCTTACAAAACTCACTCCATAATATTGATTAGTAATTTTCATACATGAACTGTGCAATAATTTCGCATTTTTTTATAATCGTCTAGGTAACAATAATCAATTACATCGTCCTATTTCCATCTGTTCTATATTTATAGTAGTGAGCTGATCAGTAATTTTTAATAATTTTTGGGAAAATGTAAAATCAATTTTATGTACGACATTGCTACAGTGGGGCATAGTTTAATGCATGTTGTTAATTAAAAAAGAAATTCTGGTCCGCAAAGCGAGTAATTTAAACTGTTGATTCTTACTTTGAATGTAGTTGTTGCCTGCTCTTAGAATTTGACCGGTTTTCTCAGTCTGCCTGTATTTCCTGCACTAGTCTAATCCATTGGTCTATCTATTTGTGCAGGAAACATTGTTTCCTTTTCTTGTCTGTCCAGCTGTTAGTGTTGTATTGTTTTATTCCGTGTATTCCGTGTAATATTTGTGTAGTAATAGAATTTTCGTCACCATTCTTAAAATAAACCAGTTTTTAACTTGTATATTTTTTCATCAAGACCAGTAGCCAATGTGAAATTACTTCCATTTGGTCAAAAATATAATCAAAATATTATTTTTGATTATTTTTTTTTTTTTTTTTTCAGCAATATGGAAAACAAGACAAACTGAAGACACTAAAACTGACAGAGAGTTGCATGTGAAAACTACTTTGAGGGAACTTATCATCTATATCCTGTTTATTATAGTTCTCTGCATTGGTAAGTTGTCTGACTTAAAGATTCCCGTTTTTGTGGCAGATGCATTTGAT